TGATGTGGGAGAAGTGACATCTAACTTGGGCCTTTCATGGCCGTAGGGTGTGAGTCAGTAGGAAAAATAATAGGACTATCCATGTAGTACTCGGTCCTACCTAATGGGACTCATTACTTGAGGAAGCAGCATTGGCTAAACAAATCATTAAATCAAGAAAAGAAATATGCATCACAAAAAGAAGATGGCTCAGGGAATAAACAAAGGGACAATATTATAGATTATTTACTAATCATATGACAATTTGCGCCTCAGCGTCTTCTGTAAAATGCAGATAGGAAGTTCCATTTCACCTTCCTTACAAAGTCAAACTCCTTTTGAAGATCATAAAGGTCACCCACACATATTTAACGGGGTAACAGTTTTTAAAAATCATTTATATTTTTATCTTTTATCTTCCTAATTACGTGGGCTTTGCCCTAGAAGATTAGAGGAGTCTATTGCTTAGAGGAAGGAAGAGGGAGATTAGGAATGCCAGAGAATGGATACAGACCAAAGGGAACATCCGCAAATATCCAGTCTGTAGTCTGGAGAGAAGGTTGCCTCAATTCTTTCAGCTGCCTGTTTAGCATATCAAGGGCATGCTTTATCTGAGCCAGAGGTCTCCTCAGGAAGGCCAAGTGGAAGAGCCTGCCCTTTTCTGGCTTCAAAGATAGTGGGAATTGGAAGAAAAGAGAAGAGAGCAGGAGAATAGAACAAAGACACATGGTCCTAATTTTCTCATCTTGGCTTTGGCACAGGAGGCTCATTAGACAAATTGAGACAACGCTGAAAGTAGATTTGCTTCTTCCCCAGCCTAGGGCACAAGATGAACTTCCTAGTCCAGTGTGGTGGCGGCTGGACTTGGAAGCAACCTGAGAGTGTGTTTGGGGATCTTGCCCGAGTGGGTCACAGTGGTTGGGACAGACTGGCACCACAGTAAAGACTGCAGGTTAGACCCGCCAGGTAGGGTGAGTGGAGTTCCAGCCAAACCTCAGAGAAATCTGTGGTGCTAGCAGTAGGCAAGGTGAAGCTCAGGTAGCCCCAGCTCTGTATACTGGTTGAGGCAAGAGAACAAATGACAGTATATGTCAGACCAGCTTCCATTTTTACCATGAAGGCCAGAGGGGCAAGCAACAACCAGAGGGCCAAGGGAGGTGCTCCCTGGACCAGAGTGGGCAGAGTGGGCCATCCCACTACCCTATATACCACCACAAATGCTTGTAAGCCACATCTCCCTCTCACCACCTTTGTAGCCAGAATTTATCTTCATGGAGAAGCGGAGAGAGGTTATATGAGAGATTAAACCATTTTTATTCAAGAGACTGACATTGCCTAAAATGCCCATGCAGATAATAATAAGAACAGACTGAATTTAAACTAGATTGGTCCTTTAGTTTATTTTTCTACCAACTGTCAGATGAAGGTTATAGACAAATGAAAGTTCAGTTACAGGAAAAATAAATTCATTTTACATCCTCATCCAAGCTGAACTGTGAACAAAATGGTGTGATCCAATTACCTATAAAGTTGTTGTTCTTAAATAATTCTAAGAGTAATATCTCTATATATTGAATTTTAAAATATTTAAGTGGCATTAACCTTTGACTGAAACAAAATAATATATGTAAAAGTCCCTGGCATATATTAGGTTGCTAGGTGAATATTAATTGTTTGAATGTTGTTTGAGGTCAATGTCAGCAAAGATAACAGCTACGCTCCTTGGATCATGGCTCTTGGTTCTGCATTGAGAGCCTGAATATTGGGTAAGATGAACCCAGAATAGCATCATTGCTTTCCCTGTGTGTGATTATGTGAGGAATTATGGTCCCAAGCAGAGATTCTTAAATCTAGTCCTGCATCAGAATTATCTGGACAGCTCGTTTGAAAATATAGATCATTTCTCCTCTGTTTCCCCTTGCGATTATGATTCAGTATTTCTGGGGAGGTGCCAAGGCATCTTTTGAAAACCATTAAAATCTGTTCAGATGGCATTTTAAATACCAAGGGGCGCTGTGGTACATCTTTAGTAATTTCTTCTTTGATTGTTGTTGACTCTTACAGACACATGTATGGGTAGACTAGAGAAAGCCAGACTTAATTGTTTTTTAGTTTTTGTCTGTACAAAGTTCTGTGCCTAATCAGCATGGCTCCTGTCAATTCTCTAAATTCCAAAGCAAAACAAGTGTAAGTAAGGGATGATGAGCTTTGTGTTGGGCCAAGTCAAAGAAAATGGCTTCTCCCCCTCATTTCAGCAGAACACAGAGTCTCCAAGCCCAGAGCAATGATTACATGTGTGAGGAAATTCCTCAATCTGCACGGAACTATTTTCTTGTTTTTCTCTCCTCTTTCATCCCTGTTTTCAGGTCCCAGGGGGATATGGCCCTTATCAACTCTCAAACAGGAGTTTTACTGCAGCACGACACAAACAGCAAAGCAGGAAAAGTGTGTGCTACGATTCCTGTAGGAAACCCTCTTTCTTTGGGGTCCTATCACTTTTATCCTACCTCTGTCACCTCTTTTAGTGTGTCATCATGTGAATGTGGCCTCTCCAGCACTTTCTGACTTACAATTTTCTGTTGGTCACCTGACCAAATGATGCCCAGGCTGAAGTTGGCAAATGGCCATTGTGCTGAACATAATCGTTCCAGTAAAACATGGCTTATTAGCATAGAAATCTCTATAAGCCTTTCTATTCTAATTTTGCTGTTACAATTCTGGCCCCTTCGGAGGTCATGCTAACCTAGTTAAGGCTCTTGGAGAAAATACCGTCGTTCCAGCTCATTGCATTTGCATTAAAATATATTGTCCTTCAACTGACATGCTAACCAGCAACCCATCATCTGCAACTTCGTGCAGAACCTGAACTGCAGGGCATCATTTGTTATTTAAGTTGGAGTCTGGGAAGCTCAGTGAAAATATATGATGGGCACCAAGACGTTAGGGTCTTTAAAGTTCTGGCTGTGTGCTCTTCACTCTGAATGAAATGAAAAGATTTTGATGAAAAGCAGATTACTACAAAGTGAAGGATGCTAACTGCTAGGGTCCTTGATGTGTCGCATCCCATAGAGACAATATGGCATTGTGAGGACACAAATGTCAGGGTCAGACTGCTTAGTTGAAATCCCTGTTCTACTATATAGGAATTTTGAAAACTAGTGATAATAAAATAGTCATATCTCACTAGGTTATGTGAGATTATCTCTATAGAGTAGTACATTACATGTGCCCATGTCATTAATTATGATTGTTATTAATTACTAATGTTTTGTATGCTCAATTGATGTTGACTATTTCTATTAATAACAATGTGAAACCTACAGAATGGTTAATCCTTCATATAGCTCACTCTTATGATTTTTGAGAAATTATTTGGGAAAAGATATTTGGGTACTGAAGATACATAAGTAATGAGAAGGGATGATTTCCACCCTCGTAAAGATCATATTCCAGATAGAAAATGTGGAAGTTAGTGAGTTACCCCTTAATGTGGGTCCAAGAAGAGGGTGTGAGATCATTTTTCAAGGATGCTATAGATTTGTTTTGATTGGATAGGAGGTTGTAAACTGCTTAGAACAATACGTAACACTACATACTAAGTATGCAAATATTTTATTATTGCTGTTATTATTATTAATATTGTTTATACCCACAATTACTTATATTATCTTGCTTAAATCTTGTGACAACCTTGTGAGAAAGGTACTGTTATTATCTGATATTAATAATGAGGAAATCAAGGCTCAGGGAGGTTAAGTAACCTACCCGATGTCACATAGCTTATACAACAGAGCCCAGATTTAAACCAACTGCATTGACTCCTTTGAAATTCTTGTTTGCTTGAGTTGCTTTGTTATAGGTTGTGTCTCTCAAAGAAATCGGGAGAATTGGACCTGTTAAATATTTGGTGATGGGCAATGAGCTGTTTAAGGTCTTTGGCTGTAACGTGTCCTTGGAAGCAAGGAGCTCACTCCATTTGGTTCCTAGGAAGTTCCTCTGGTTGTGCTATCATCACTTCTTGACCTTGAGAGGTTGCCTACTGCACTCTCTGACTTCAAGCAATACTTTATCTAATTCTTCCTCAAGAAAACATCTACGTTTAAAAATATTCTTACAGAAAAGGGGAATCTATACTCTTTTTAAATGATCTTTAAATAAAATTAGACTCTAAAATAGCAAAGTTGGAAGAAAGAGTGAGGATTATTTAAGCCAATTCCTCCATTTTGTATGTGAGGCCTACATGAGGGGAAGGGATGGAAATGTCTGCAGTTTACATGGTTAATTACTATGCAGCTTGGTGGCTAAGAGTTTGGTGGGCTCTGGAGCTGGGTGGTCTGGGTCTGAGTCCCAGTTCTCTACTTGCTAGCTTAATCTCCTTGTGCCTCAGTTGCCTCGCTGTAAAATGGTGGTAATAACAGTGCTTACCTCATGGGATTGTGGTGAAGATTAAGTAAGTTTCCATGTGTAAGGCACTTGGAATAGGGGCTGGCACATAGTAAACTATATATGAGTATTTACTATTCTTGCTGTTGACAGCACTAGGATTTGGGTCCAGATTGCTTAACGTCCTTGTCTAGTGCTCTTTTCATTTCCTTAAATTCTCTTCCATCATGATCTTTTTTGTAACCTGCTGAGGTTCTTCCAACTTTAGTTTGACCCATGACCACCAGTTCTCTTCTTAGTCTGGATACCTGTGTGGTTTTTGTGCTTATCAGTTTCAAACACTGTGGTCATGGGACTCTGAGGTCAGATAGACTTGCATTTGAGTTCCAGCCTTACTACATAGAGGTTACTTAGCTTCCCTGTGCCTCTGTTTCTTCATTTGTACACTGGGAATACCAAAGAGCACCTACCTTATTAAGATTGCTGATAGGATTAAATAAGCAGTTATTTATAAAAGCACTCAGCAGAATGCCAGACGCTTGCTAGATATATAGTACATGGCAGTACATTATTGTTATTACTACTGTTATAACTCCTTATGGAATTTTCCAAGTCATGAGTGTACTTTCCTCTTGCAGATTATCTGAGTAGGCTGAATGATCGGTGAAAAGGAGGCCAAGCATCTCAAAAATAGGACACCTGAGAGTATGAAGCCAATGTGACACTCAGGTGAGTTAGCCTTATGATCCCTAAGCATTCAGTCCTTGGACCAGATGCATCAGAATCTTCTGGTAAGTGTGCTAAAATATGGGTTACTGAGACCCACCCTATGTCTGCCAAATCAGAATATTCTAAGGAAGCAGGTCCCAGGGAATATATATTTTAAAGCTCCCTAAATGTACTTTATGGGCTGCCAGACTTGGGAATCACAGGATTAGGTAGCTACCTAAATGAAGACATTTAAATGTGCCAAAAGCTTCTCTTTCACCCATCCATTTATCCATCTATTCACCCATCCATCAATCAAATATGTGCTAGTATCTGGTATTTGCTTCATGACCTGCTACTGCTGTGGTGGGTGCAAAAATAAATGATCAATACTCTCAAAGAGTCAATAGTCTAAGAGAATGGATGACTGAAGCAGAAATAATAAAAGATGTGCTATGAAGTATGATGGGGGTCCAGAAAAGTATGTACTTATTCCAGGTTGTGGCAGAAGACTCTGGTGAGGTTTCCTTTTATATAATGGCATGAATTCCCTTTTAGATCCATCTCTAATTTAAGCTTCTCCTACTTCTGACTGTTTGTGTTACATACCAATCCTATGGATTTCTACAGTTTTCTGGAATTACTTTTTATACACTACAATAGAGTTGTGTGGCTGATTCCATGTTTTACTTAGAAGCTGAGAGCTTGATAAAAAGTGAAGGCTGCATCTTAATTATCACCTTTTCCCCTACTTCCTAGCTAGGGTCTGGCTCTGCCTAAGCAGCTGCCATCAGTGTTCAATAAACACTGAAGAAGTTGGGTTGTTGCACTGGTTATACAAAGAAGGAGGCAGTGGGTATAAGCCTGGGGCGGGGAGCAGGGCTGGAACCAGTCATGGAACACATAGAATTTGAATCAAGTTTGGGCTTTAGTTTTTAGGCAATGAGCCTAAGACTATTTTGGAAGCTATATCCTTTGTTCAAAAAAAAGTTAGAAAGGGCAAGAACTAGGGCAATCTATCACAAAGTGTGGGAGAGGTAATTTTATATGTAAACTATTATAAATCACATTTGAGTTATGAAGTGAGACAATTATTCCCTTTGCAGTTTCATTTTATTCTGTCTAATTATTTCAGGGAGACATTCTGAATTGGGTGCTAGTATTTTAACACTTCTCTAACACTTTCTCTTTTTAAATTCTGTTTATTTTTAATTGACAAATAATAATTGTATATATTTATGGAGTACATTGGGCATGGAGGGCGGGTTATTCTGTGATGTCTTGACCTGTGTATACATTGTAACACTTCTCTAATACTTTCTAATCCAGCTGTCCCTAACATTTTTGGCACCAGGAACCAGTTTCGTGGAAGACAATTTTTCCACAGATGGTTGGGGGATGATTTCGGGATGGAACTATTCCACCTCAGGTCATCAGGCATTAGATTCTCATAAGAAGCATGCAACCTAGATCCCTCACATGTACAGTTCACAATAGGGTTCATGGTTCTATGAGAATCTAATGTTGCCACTGGTCTGACAGGAGGCAGAACTCAGTTGATAATGCTTGTTCACCTGCTACTCACCTCCTGCTGTGTTGCCCAGTTCCTAACAGGCCATAGACTGGTATCAGTCCATAGCCTGGGGCTTGAGGACCCCTGCTCTATGATGTCTATACAACAATAAAATTGCCTAATGATGCATTTCTCAGAATGTATACCCATCATTAAGCGACACTTGGCTGCTTGTGTATTTTTATATATAGCTAAATGTGGCTAGATTAGATGTGATATCTCTTTGGAGGCAGGGATAGTTGGGCAAGTTTCTAAAACACAAAACTGACTGTGTCTTTTCTCTGCTTAAGAACCTTCCATGAATCCCTGCTGTTCATAACCGGATAAATTCTAAGCTGCCTAATTCAGAATTCTAGCTTAGAGATGTCTATACCTGGCTGCTCCCAACAGTCAGTCTCATGTCCTGTCTCAAACATGGGGCTTCAATAAGTATGAATTTTTCCAAGGAGAACTTTATACTCTGCGTACTTTTAAAGGCTCAAGCCTGGAGACCCCCCTTCTCGCCTCCCTTACCCTTTTCACCAGGGCATCCTCTATTCATCCTTCTAGAGCCTCCTCTGGGGAGTCCTTTCCCAATGCCCACTTCCCAGCCTAAGCTTAGTGCTATTTCTGTAGATACCCAGAAACTATATGTACAGTTTACCCTAGTGTGTCAAAGTTATAGTTACTGCTTTAGGAGAGACTTTGAGCTTTTCATCTTTATTACTCGGGCTTCTGCTACTGTGTCAGGCAGGTAGTTGACACTCAACAAATGTTTGTTTAGCCTAACTCAGCTGAACACATGGAGTTATTAAGCTGATTTTGCTGAGTCTGCAACATTTCTTGCATGCATCCCCTGCTTGGAGTTCCAATTACAGTCCTCCTGCTTCAGTTTTCTTGTCACTCCCTTCCTCTGATAACTTTTGCATACCTCTGTATCACATGGCTTACTTTTTGAAAAGATTTTTTTTACATTCACCTGTATTTGTCTCAAATTTGTTTTTAAAAGAGACTTTGTATTACTACCATCACGGAAAACCTTCATCACTTGGCACAAAAGAAAGTTCAAAAAATACAACAAAAGACATTCTACTAAATTCTAGCTAGACAACCTTGCCTGTTCTAGTAGATGCACCGAGACCATTAATGAATCTTTCATCCTACTTTGTGTCATCCTCTTTGCCACATGACTTTGGGTCTCCCTCACCAACTAGGCCAAGTTCCTGTCTTCATCTCTTGATTCAGCCATAACACTTGCTCTGCCCAGTGTTGTTTTAGTAGATTTGACGCATACAGAAGCGTAAAAAACTCTTGTGTGGGCCGGGCCCGGTGGCTCAAGCCTGTAATCCCAGCACTTTGGGAGGCCGAGATGGGCGGATCACGAGGTCAGGAGATCGAGAGCATCCTGGCGAACACGGTGAAACCCCGTCTCTACTAAAAAGTACAAAAAAACTAGCCGGGCGAAGTGGCGGGCGCCTGTAGTCCCAGCTACTCGGGAGGCTGAGGCAGGAGAATGGCATGAACCCAGGAGGCGGAGCTTGCAGTGAGCTGAGATCTGGCCACTGCACTCCAGCCTGGGAGACAGAGCGAGACTCCGTCTCAAAAAAAAAAAAAAAAAAGGACAAAAAACTCTTGTGTGACTGGGATAGCTCCTCTGCAATGAGAACATGCCTGGGATAGTGTACTGAAAAGATGTGAGAAATACATGAAGCAGAGTCCAGTCGTCCCAGCCAAGAACCAGCTGTGAATCTAACCACATGACTTTGAGGCAAGTCCAGACCAAGAGCCTTAAAGACGGACCTGCAGATTCCTGAGCTAAATAAAAGTTTATTGTTGAAAGGCACAGAGTTGTTTTTGTTTCCTACAGATATTAATGTGGCAACAGATAACTAATATAGCTGCCAAGGCTCTGAGCCTGAGACATGTTTTCTCTTTGCTAAAAAGGTAGATTAGAACAGGGGTCCCCAAACCCCAGGCCACTGCCTGGTACAGGTCTGTGGCCTATTAGGAATTGAGCCACACAGCAGGAGTGGTGGGTGAGCCAGCATTATCACCTGAGCTCTGCCTCCTGTCAGATCAGCAAGGCATTAGATACTCATAGGAGCATGAACCCTATTGCGAACTGAATATGCAAAGAATCTAGGTTGTGTACTCCTTATGAGAATCTAATCCTGATGATCTGAGGTGGAACAGTTTCATCTGGAAACCATCCCCCTACCCTGCTTGGGGAAAAATTGTCTTCCATGAAACTGGTCCCTGGTGCCAAAAAGGTTGGGGACTGCTGTCATAGAGTATACTTACACAAACCTGGGTGGTATAGCCTGCTACACACCTAGGCTGTATGGTGTAGCCTATGGCTCCTAGGCTACAATCCTGTACAGCTTGTTACTATACTGAATGCTGTGGGGAATTGTCACACAATGGCATTTGTGTATCTAAACATCCCTAAAAATAGAAAAGATACAGTAACGATAGGGTATTATAATCTCATGAGACCATTGTTGTATATGCTGGCCATTGTGGACCAAAATATTTATAGCCTGTGACTATATATGTATATACAACATATATTGTGTTTATATTTATATTTATAATACATTTATTTACATAAATTTTTCTCTACAAAAATTTCTGCCATGTAGTTTTCCTGCTTCTGTTTGCAAACCTCCAGTGAGAGGTGGCTTATTATTCTGCAAATGAGCCTGTTACAGTCCTGATTGGGTGAAGAAGATAGACTTGAGGAACACAAAACTGGAAATGGGGGTTCTTGCAGTAATCCAAGTGAGGGACATGGAAGAGCCAAAATGAGCAGGAAGAATCCGGATGTACTGATAGAGAAGCAAACTCCTTTGGTTGATGCTAAGTGCCATAAAAATGTGAATTGTGTAAAATGTGAATTGTAAAGTGGTTGTGCTCACTTTAGAGCCCAAACTTACTGCATAAACAACTCCCAAACCATACAAACATCTATTTTTCCTTTAAATGGACAAAGCAATGCTGACACCCAGTGGCTGGTTCAGATTACCCACAGCTCCCAGACAGAGGATCCCAAGGGAGATGAAAGTCAACTTGCTCAATCCCTACCATCAGAGCAACCCACGATCTTTAGCTGAAAGGGCAAGTCTGAATTCAGCCAGTAATAGCCAGCCATGTGATGTGTTTGGCACCACATAAAGGATAGTTCCTAGTAAGTCTAATGCAGGTAAAAGAGCCAAATTAAACCTGCAGATAAGAAGAGTATTGAATCAAAGTCAGCCCCTTGCGAAGCAGAGACAAAAGCAATTACCCTGAGTTCCCTGGAGAACTCCCATCCAAAGCACCAATACGAAATGAAATAGTTAAAGGTCAGTTTCTCAGTCAAATCAGTCCTCTGTTTTGCCATAACAGGGCAGGCTTTGTGCTTTGGTTGGAAACCACTCAACTCCCATTCTGACACAGAGTCAGGATGTGATAAAACAACAAGGAACTT